ACCTACCGTAATATACTTTTTGCCTCTCGATATTCTGTAGCTCATGGAAGGCGTATTTATGTCTGACCTAACACTGGATTATAACTCGTGGCTTTCCATCTAGCATCCTTGAGCCTTACACCAGATGTTTGGTTTTGATGCCTTTTAAGTTAATCAAGTCAAGTCGTTTCCTTTGCTGCTTTTAGACCAAGGCCTGATAGGACTGTGCAAGGTTGCACAGATGGTTTCACACTTTAATGTGGGACTGGAACTGAATATTTCCCAGTCTCTAACTTGGTGCCTTCAACACTACACCAGCCTGGATCTTCTTCCCCATAAAATCTACCCATTGAGCTGGTAGGGCTCCTCTCTGGTGTGAGTCCTTCCATGAATAACCAGGAGCTCTTCTGACCAAAGCTTTTGCTGCATTTGCTCATATGGCTTTTCTCCAGTGTGGATTCTCCCAGGCATAGTTTGCTTCCTCACAGGGTGAGGCCTGCATTACTGTCTGTCTTATGTGGCTGTCTAAATTACCTTTTCCTTCCCACTGACTTCCATATATTTCCCTTTTTTTCTCAACTAGGAAATGATCCCCCTTGATATTTTGATAGGTTTCATCTACATACCATATTTTGTCTAGCTCAAAACCCTTTTCCTGATTTTTCCCACTTTGACTGTCACCTGCAGGGAAAGAAGAGTTTTGGGGTTCTCCAGAGGAACTGATAAAATTTTGATTGCTGCCTTGGTTTGCTTTGCATTTCAATGCTGCTTGTGATTCTCAGTTCTCCACAGAGCTCTCTTTGATATTTTTTTGCCTGTAAGATTCACATAAAAGGATTGCTTTAATTATGATTTATAAAATGGCTATACAACATTTAAAAAAAAACAGCAAAAAGCATATACAATAAAACATGACAAAGATGCCATCATGCTAATTCAACCTCTTAATTTTGATTCTTTTTCAGTATACATGTCTAGTTGAAATATCCATTCAGTTTGGAAATTTACTTACTAACTTGGATCAATCATGAATTCATAGAACTACAAAGAGATAAATATATCTGGAAGTGCTGGGGACAAATCATACATATACACATATATGTGGGTACACTCACACTTTTTGATGTAAATGTAGTGCAACAGGATTAGGTGAGTGGGTGGATTAAATGGTGAAATGATCCCAAGAGCCTTAGTAACAGTTAAAGGACCATGTTTGCCCGTGGAAGTCCACTACTCTGAATAAAAAATGATTTTCTTAAATAATGTTTTTTTTTTTAAAAAAAGTTGTGGGTTAAGCACAGTTGTGCCATGTTAATCCATGGATGGCACACCATCAGGGAATCCTGTGTTTGTTTGCTAAATATGGAATTCAAATCAAAATTCCTGAAGGTAGCAGTGACAGAACAGTTCCAAATTAGTTGCCAAGAAAAGAACATGCCTATACAATTGCAAGGAGTCAACCTTAACATGGAGACTTTTTAAAACTCCCAACACAGAGGAAAATGCAGGCACCAGTTTTAAAGCATGAACCACCAGTGGAATGAAATCTGAGGAAGGAAAGAATATGTAGCAGCTGACATGTTTCAGCTTTGTTGCTTCTCTGCTTTTACACCCTGGGAAAACCCAAACAGCCCTACTTGATTCCGGCCTCTCCTCCACCTGTGCTCAGCTCACCTTTCAGCTGCTGCTGCCACCCTGGGAAGACCAGGAGGTCCGCCATCCCTGCCTCCCCCCTCTCAGCGGAGAGCCAGAAGAGGAAGCTCTCCTGCTGTTGTTCTCTCCAAATCCTCTCTAGGAATCTACTGTTCAAATGTTTAAACTCCTTAGGCCTCAGTTACCAATGCTCTACAGTTGTTTAGCGTGGGCATTGCTCATCTATAGCGCACCATTTAGTGACATAAAGCTGAAAACCATGTTGTTCCATCCAGTGGTTGAATTCAATTTTTTTTACTACCGATTCTGTGGGCGTGGCTTACTTGGTGGGCGTGGCTTGGTGGTCGTGTGACTGGGTGGGTGTGGCTTAGTGGTCATGTGACTGGGTGGGCGTGCTTGGTGGTCATGTGACTGGTTGGGCATGGCTTGGTGGTCATGTGACTGGGTGGGTGTGGCCAACTCAATGTCACTCACATCAAGGGGTGCCTCACCTGGCCCCTCCCCTCCCAGCCATTCCTTGTCACCCAGCCTCAACTTATCTATAGTTCTGTAAAAATGTTGTTCACCTTTTCTGTCTTTATTATCTGCATACTATAGATGTACTTTCATGGACCACTGAAAAGAGGAAATGGCTCACATGCTTTACTGAAGAGTGTGATAGGCAACAGGCTTTTAAGGGGCTGCCAGAAAGAAGGGGGGCAATATATTTTCCAAAGCACCAGAAGGCAAACAATGTATTTTCCAAAGCACCAGAAGGATGGAAACTGAACAGCGGGAGAAGCAACCTAAAAGTAAGGAGAAACTTCCTGACAATGAGTACAATTAATCACACTGGAAGTTTTTAACAAAGACTAGACAGCCATTTCTCTGAAATGGTATAGAGTGTTAGGAATGTTAGTCACCTAACAGTTGGATTGGAAATATATAAACCAGGATATACATTTAATACTATCTCTTTAAGGGAATGCTAAAATTGTAATTGGGTGTGTGTTGAGGTAATTCCCCATTAGGAGAATGAGTGCATACAGAGAGACGTATTGAGAGAAGTGTTTGAATAATACACAGCATACAGATATACTGTACAGTAAATGTAGGTTTTTACTTCCAGAAACGTTTAAGCAGTCCAAACACAGTCCCAAGTCATTCACAGGTTAAATCAGTCAGTTTTCAGTCCAGGGATAATCTAATAACAAAGTCCAGTGTCAAAAACAGTTCAGTATCAGACTTACATCAAATCCAAGAATATCAGTCAATAGGAGGAACGGCAATATTCTCCAACAGAAGGAAACAGAGACTCACTCACACTCTCTTCTGAGACTAAGATTAAGACAACCCAGGTTTCTGGCTCCATCTTATGGCCGTTTGAGAAACCACACCCAATTAGAGTTTTGCATTTTGTTAAAGATAGTTTTAAAATGTTTATCCTGGTTTATATATTTCCAACCCAAAATAACTGTTAGGTGACTTATATTCTTAACAGTGTAGTTCCTCAAACGGCCATAAGATGGAGCCAGAAACATGGGTTGTTAGTTGTTCTTAGTTGTTCAGTGTTTTTGGTTCTTGCATTTTCCCTATTGACTGTTGCCTGATCGAAGTTCTTGGATTGCCATGAGTCTGTTTACTGAACTGTTTATGATACTGGACTTTGTTTTTGGATTATCCCTTGACTGAATACTGACTGCTTTAACCTGTATGACTTGGACTGTCTGTTGGACTTTGTTTACCTGTTTACTGGAAGTAAAACCTACATTTTACTATTCAGTGTATCTGTGTGCTGATTGTGTGTTATTCCAGGGGTCCCCAACCGCCGGTCCGCGGACCGGTACCGGGCCGCGGAACAAGCGTTACCGGGCCGCTGGTTGCTGGGCGCCGCCATCTTTTTTTGGTAAAAAAAGCAATTTTTCCTCAAAAAAGATGGCAGCGCCAGCGCTTCCGGTGAGCTTTTCCGGGTAGAAAGCCATTTCTACCCGAAAAAGCTCACCGGAAGCGCTGGCGCCGCCATTTTTTTGACGAAAAAAATCACTTCCGGTGACGTCACCGGAAGTGATTTTTCGTCAAAAAAAAAATGGCGGCGCCCAGCTGACGCCGGAACCGGGCCGCGGCGCCCAGCTGACGCCGGAACCGGGCCGCGGCATCGAAAAGGTTGGGGATCCCTGTGTTATTCAATACCACTCAGTACGTTTCCCTGAGAGCACTCATTCTCCTAACGGGGAGATTTTTTAACTGTGCCTAATGAAATGTCATTCATTCATAGAATTTAGGACTGGTCAGATAGCAATGCAACAAATAAAGTAAGAGGCAGAAACCTAATTGCAGCTCACATCATCAGAGTCATAGAGTGCATGGGCTGATGTACAACTAAAACTGAAATTCTAAATTTATACTGAGGGAAGGGAAGCTGAGGAAGACAGATTGGTCACAGAGATACAGAATGCACAAAAGAGGGATTACAAGTTAACAATTGTAGTGTGTTAGAAACCCATTGTATGTGTGAAGTCCTCATCACTGACAGAGTTGGGAAATGAACTTTACATAACCTTATTATTAAATTCATTTATTATTAAACTTAATCACTGCCTATCTCAGTTTGAGGCAACTCTGAGCGTCTTGCGACTCTTGCCATGCCCTAATATAGCAACACTGATAATACCCATTTTTTTACATGTCAAATGTGTCGAACACTGGGGACTCTACCACCCGTCCTGGAGCTTGACACATCTGAAGGGGCTGACCAGGGATGCCAGGCATATCAGTGTACAAATCTTGGTGCAAAAGATGCCCCTACACGTTTCCAGATCGAGTGGGGTGGAACTAACCGGGATCCGGCAAGTGTGTACATCATCATGTAGGAGAACATGGGAATCCAAACTGAACACGAACCTCAGAAGGGATGGGATGGATATACGAGGGGGAAAGGCACGGGGGATTAGGCATGGGGCAGAAGCACAGGGAGATATTAGTGGCTTTAGGCGGATGTTAGGTAACCAGGGGCGCGTAGAAGAGGCGAGGCAGCGGAGATACATAATGCGCTGAGAGGCAGCAGTTCTCAGTGCTAACTGAATCCGGGTTACCTGTTCTTGCCGATTGGGGCCGCATCACTGTTAATAAATTGAGCATGGCAACTCTGACAGGTAACAACTTTTTTATTCAGCGCAACTCCTCCAGTGCCCATAGGAGGCTGAGAGAAAGGTAGCGCTCTTCAATATCTTCATAAACTACTTAGATGAGGGAACAGAAGGGGAACTTACCAAATTTGGAGATATTAACCCACTGTATATGTGAAGTCCTCATCACTGACAGAGTTGCGAAATGAATTTTACATTACCTTATTATGAAATTCATTTATTATTAAACTTAATCACTGCCCATCTCAGTTTGAGGCAATTCTGGGCATCTTTTGACTCTTGCCTTGCCCTAACATTCATAGCAACACTGATAATACCCATTATTTACATGTCAAATGCTTCTGGTAATTCTAACATAATGCATTTTGAAAAATGAGACATTTTCTATTGCACATTTTTTTTCCTGATGTTATGGTAGCAAAACAGAGTGGTTTGTCCCTCCTCTGCGTTATCAGTGTGTACAGTGTGGCAAAATAGCAGCCGCTTCCACAAGAAATAATTCCACAATAATAATTATATAATTTCTTGATTAACTTTTCATCCACCACTAACAGTATTTGATCAAATGTTGTTTTCTCTTTATAAAAGCCATATATCTTAACATTTTTTTCATATCTTGATTGCATTTGCATATGTGGCCACCACGATAAATCAACATCCTTTTTCTGTTGTTCTTTTTTAGTTTTTAGTTCCCCTTCCACAAAATATCTTTATATGTTAATTTTTTTTCAAGATTTACTAGTTTTGGGTGAACAAATTGCTCATGATGTGTACTGAAGATGGTGTTTGATTTTGTTGTGTGGGGTGAAATGACAATCAAGTAAACTAAACAAATGCTTCCATTTTCAAACATAATTCAAGCTATCAATCTCTCACCTACACATTCAATGGGCGATCACAAATGAAATTCAAGCACTCTTTAAATTCAATTACATTTCCTCATATTTGTGTGCAATATTTATTTGTGTGCAATAAGGGATGATTTCTGCTTGAAATCTGGACAGTTCAAAGATTTCTCCATGGCTGAATACTCTGATGTATCACAAGGTAGGAATACTGACTGAAACTTTTCCTACAGTCAGGACATTCACAGGGTTTCTCTCCTCTGTGAGTTCTCCGGTATATCACAAGATTAGAAAGGTAACTGAAACTTTTCCCACAATGAAGACATTCAAAGGGTTTCTCGCCTGTGTGAGTCAACTAGTGTTTCACCAGGCTGGAATTATCACTAAAACTTTTCTCACAGTTAGGACATTCAAAGGGTTTCTCTAATGTATGTGTCCTCTGGTGTCTCATGAGGCTGAAATTGCAACTAAAACTTTTCCCAAAGTCAGGACATTCAAATGGTTTTTCTCCTGTATGAGTCCTCTGGCATATCATCATGTTGGAATTCTGGTTGAAACATTCCCCAAAGATAGGACATTCAAAGGGTTTCTCTCCTGTGTGAGTCTTCTGGTGTATTACCAGGTGGGAATTGCGACTAAAACTTTTCCCACAAATAGGACATTCAAAGGGTTTCTCTCCTGTGTGAGTCCTCTGGTGTATTACCAGGTGGGAATTCTGTCTGAAACTTTTCCCACAGATAGGACATTCAAAGGGTTTCTCTCCTGTGTGAGTCCTCTGGTGTATCACCAGGCTGGAATTCTCACTGAAACTTTTCCCACAGTCAGGACATTCAAAGGGTTTCTCTCCTGTGTGAGTCCTCTGGTGTCTCTTGAGGCTGGAATTTGTAATGAAACATTTCCCACAATCAGGACATTCAAAGGATTTCTCTCCTGTGTGAGTCTTCTGGTGTTTCACCAGGCTGGAATTATCACTAAAACTTTTCCCACAGATAGGACATTGAAAGGGTTTCTCTCCTGTATGAGTCCTCTGGTGTATCACCAGGCTGGAATTCTCACTGAAACTTTTCCCACAGTTAGGACACTTGTAGGGTTTCTCTCCTGTGTGAGTCCTCTGGTGTCTCATGAAGCTGGAATTTGTAATGAAACATTTCCCACAATCAGGACATTCAAAGGGTTTCTCTCCTGTGTGAGTCCACTGGTGTATTACCAGGTGGGAATTACGATTAAAACTTTTCCCACAAATAGGACATTCAAAGGGTTTCTCTCCTGTGTGTGTCCTCTGGTGTATTACCAGTGTGGAATTGCGACTAAAACTTTCCCCACAAATAGGACATTCAAAGGGTTTCTCTCCTGTATGAGTCCTCTGGTGTATTACCAAGTTGGAATTCTGTCTGAAACTTTTCCCACAATTGGGACATTCAAAGGGTTTCTCTCCTGTGTGAGTCCTCTGGTGTATTACCAGGTTGGAATTTTCACTAAAACCTTTCCCACAGATAAGACATTTAAAAGGTTTCTCTCCTGTGTGAGTCCTTTGGTGTATTACCAGGTGGGAATTGCGACTAAAACTTTTCCCACAAATAGGACATTCAAAGGGTTTCTCTCCTGTGTGATTCCTCTGGTGTTTCAGTAGGCTGGAATTCTCACTGAAAGTTTTCCCACAGTCAGGACATTCAAAGAGTTTGTCTCCTGTATGAGTCCTCTGCTGGATCATGTTGGAATTCTGATTGAAACTTTCCACACAGATAAGACATTCAAAGGGTTTCCCTCCTGTGTGTGTACTTTTGCGTCTCAAGATGTGGGAATTTGTAATGAAACCTTTCCCACAATCTCGACACTCATAGGGTTTGTCCTGCAATGAATCCTCTGATGTATTATAAAGCTGGAATTATGACTGGAACTTCTCCCAGTCAGGACATTGAAAGGGTTTTGTCCTTTTGATTCCTTTGATGTATCACCAAGTTGGAATTACACCTGAAAGTTTTGCAACAATCAGGATATTCAAAACATTTCTGTCCTATGAGAGTCTTCTGGTTATATCACCAGACTGGAATTTTGACTTTCCCATAATCAGGACATTGAAAGGGTTTCTCTTCTGTGTGAGTTCTTTGGTGTCTCATAATTTCTAATGAAGCTTTTCCCACTATCTAGACACCCATACAGTTTCTTCCTGGAGTCAAGCCACTGATGTATCACCAGACTGGAATTGTGACAATGCCTTGTTTAGTGGTGCTTTCATTCAAGCCATTTTCTTCCTCACAGGGAGAGGCCTATATTACTGTCTGCTCCACATGGCTTTACTATTCACCTTTTCCTCCAACTGACTTCCAGAAATGCTGAATGAAAAATAATCTCCCTTGACTTTTCATGTAATGTATCCTTGAATTGTGCATAATCTGCTTATTCTGGCTTGAAATCTTTTTTAATTTTGTCTTTTGTCTAACAACTTCCGGAGGAGGAGGAGGAGAATAGTGTGGTTTTCTGAAGGAAATGGAAAATATTTTGATTTCTGGCTTGATTCATTTTCTTTTTCAATGGTGCTTGTTATTTCCAGTTGTCCTGAGTGTTCTTATTGCCATATTCTTTGTCTGTAAGATTCAAAGAAAAGTGTAACATTAATTGTTTATAAAATGTTTAGAGATGATATGAAAAAAGAAAAAAATAAATATTACAATGAAAAAGCAAACATGCCCCAATACTAGAATAATCTCTTAGTTATCTTATTTATGATTCATTCGACACATGGAAGACTACTGAGATCCATGTTCAAATATGCATTCAATCAAATTCTGTTGTTTAATTGGGTCAATCACAAATTCTTAGCAACACAAAGGACTATCATCAATTATAACTTGTAGTGCTGGGGATAGATTATATAATTGCAGACATATGCCTACAGAGAGAAATACAGATATACCCACCTACACATGTATTCATGTGAAAATCTATGTCTTCCAAGACTGATAAAATGTCCCAGAATAATTACATTCAAACCTCCTGAGCTAAACTGAGACATGTGGGGGCTTTAACTGATGAAATGATGCCGAAAGCTTCTGCAAGATTTGAAGCATTACTTTTGTGCATGGAAGTCCTGACCTGCAAATAAGAGCAGAAAACACTGTCCACAAGTACTCTGGGGACATCCCCACTCAAGTAGTCCTCATTTAACCTACCACAATTGGAACTGATATTTGTGTCATTAAGCAGCTCAATCATTAAGTATGATTTCACATGACAGTGCCAACTTGCATCTGTTCCTCTGTGGTTGTTAAGCAAATCATTGTAGGTTGTTAAAGGCAATTCCATATGACTGTGACTTGCAATTTCCTGCCAGTATACCCAATGATTTTGCTTGTGAGAAGCTAGCTGAGAAGGTCACAAATGGGGATCATCAGCGTGGGATGCTGCGGCCATCATAAATGTGCAACTATGGGCAAAACCCGAATTGGTGCAACTTCTTTTCCAGCACCTTCAAAATCACAGTTACTGCTGACAAGCGGTCACTGAAAAACTGCTAGGATTACCACAAATTTTGTGGATCAGGTGTACATCTGCTTCTACTGTGCCAACTTTGAAGGCTCAGGGAAGAAGTGGTAAGTGAGGACTGCCTATGCAACCAAAGATGCCTAAAGGTCCTCAATAGTTATTTTTTAGAAAGTGCTGGATTAAGCACAATCCAACCTGGTTAATACATGGATGGGACAGGAAATACCATACTTATTGGCAAGACATGGAAGTAAAAAAACTTGTAAATTTTATCCACCTGTCATTTTCAATACATGCGTGGATTACAAACTATATCAAGAGGGTAACATCAAGATGTAATGGGAGACTTGAACTACCCTGATATCAACTGGGAGACAGACTCTGCAGGAAGTAGGAGATCGAACAGATTCCTACCCAACTTAGCGGACAACTTTGTCATCTAAAAGGTAGAAGAGGGAACTAGAGGAAAAACTATATTGGACCTAATTCTTACTAGTAGAGAAGAAATAATAGAGGGAGTTGAAGTTGCCAGAACCTTTGGTGAGAGTGACCACGTCATACTAGAATTCAATATTACTTAAGAAATATTCCAATATTACTTAAGAAAAATTCCTTTTCAATTTCTACAATTTATTTTTTTCAATTTTTAAATTCCTGGTTCCAATTTTAAGTCTCCTTTTTTTTAATCTTTAAATATCATTTTTAATTTAAATTTCTTTTTTCAATTTTTAAATCTTTTTCAATTTTTCAATTCTTTTTTCAATTGTTTTTATAAAATTCCTTTTTCAATTTTTCATTTTATCTTTCCAACTAAACATTTAAATAACAGTTTACTTATTTTAATTGATTAGAAATTTTTAAATTCTTAATGATCTAAACAGTGGTGGGATTGGAATAACTTAACAACCAGTTTTCTGGCTGTTGCACAAAAGAGAGATTACAAGTTAACAAATTGTAGTTCGTTAGAAACCCACTGTATGTGTGAAGTCCTCATCACTGACAAAGAGTTGGGAAATGAGCTTTACATTACTCTATTATTAAATTCATTTATTATTCACGTTGCGGTGAATCGGCTCAAAGGAACGGGGCTCCATTCCAATGGCCTGAATTTTCCTGTGTGGAGGCTCTTAAAGGGCTGCTTGAATCCTAGAGGGATCAACAAGAGAAAGGAGAAGCTTCGGAGAAGACAGGGAGAAGGCGATCTCCCAAATGGATGAGAAGAAACCTCTGAACTCCAGCAGGAAAGAAATCGGCCGGCAATGGCGGCTCCAGAGCTGTGACAACCAGAAAGGCAGCAGGAAGAGAAAATAGAAGGCAACACTTCAGAGACAGAATTAGAATTAGAATTCTTTATTGGCCAAGAATGAGTGGACACACAAGGAATTTGTCTTGGTGCAAATGCTCTCAGTATACATAAAAGAAAAGATACACTCGTCAATAGTCAAGAATCTTATATAAGGTACAACACTTAATGATAGTCCTAGGGTACAATAAGAAATCAAATCATACTAGGAAACTGTCAATAAAAATTGTAAGGATACAAGCAACAAAGTTACAGTCATACAGTCACAAGTGGGAGGGGGTGGGTAATAAGGAGTGATGAGAAGATTAATAGTAATAGTAGTGCAGACTTTGTAAATAGTTGGACAGTGTTGAGGGAATTATTTGTTTAGCAGAGTGATGGCATTCGGGGGAAAAACTGTCCTTGTGTCTGGTTGTTCTGGTGTGCAGTGCTCTATAGCGTCCTTTTGAGGGAAGGAGTTGAAACAGTTTATGTCTGGGATGTGAGGGGTCTGTAAATATTTTCACAGCCCTCTTTTTGACTCACGCAGTATACAGGTCCTTGATTGAAGGCAGGTTGGTAGTATTTTTTTTTCTGCTGTCCTAAATATCCTCTGAAGTTTGTGTCTGTCCTGATGGGTTGCAGAACCAAACCAGACAGTTATAGAGGTGCAGATGACAGACTCAATAATTCCTCTGTAGAATTGTATCAGCAGCTCGTTGGGCAGTTTGAGCTTTCTCAGTTGGCGCAGAAAGAACATTCTTTGTTGGGCTTTTTTGATGATGTTTTTGACGTTAGGTGTCCATTTTAGGTCATGTGATATAGAACCTAGAAATTTGAAGGTCTCTAATGTTGATACTGTGTTGTCTAGTACAGGGGTCCCCAACCTCCGGTCCGCGGACCGATACCGGGCCGCGGAACAAGTCTTACCGGGCCGCTGGTTGCTGGGCGCCGCCATCTTTTTTGATGAAAAAGTGCTTCCGGTGAGGTCACCGAAAGCACTTTTTCGTCAAAAAAAGATGGCGGCGCCCAGTTGATGCCGGTACCGGGCCGCGGCGCCCAGCTGATACCGGTACCGGGCCGTGGCGTCAAAAAGGTTGGGGATCCCTGGTCTAGTACTTTAAGAGGTGGTGTATGGGAGGGTTTCTTCTAAAGTCTACCACCATTTCTACGATTTTGAGTGTGTTCAGTTCCAGATTGTTCCATTACATTACGAGGCAAGTTGTACAACCTCCTGATTGTATCCAGATTCGTCGTTGTCTCGAATGAGACCAATCACTGTTGTGTCATCTGCAAATTTCAGTATTTTAACAGATGGATCATTTGAGATGCAGTCATTGGTATATAGGGAGAAGTGGAGAAAGCACACAGCCTTGGGGGGGCCCTGTGCTAATTGTACAGGTATCAGATGTGATTCTGCCTAGCTTCACCTGCTGCTTCCTCTCTGTTAGGAAGCTTATGATCAATTTATAAGTGTGTTCAGGTACCACTAGCTGGTTTAATTTAGTTAGAAGAATGTCTGGAAAGATGGTATTGAATGCTGAAAAATTGTGAGAAAAATGGGGGTCCAGAAATAGTAGGAGTTTTTGATCTGCCAGATTGGGAATTATAGTATACAGCAGCAGCCCTTACATGGATTGAAGATAGGGTAACATTAAAAAATAAAAGAATATTGACAATTGAAGGACATGACTTACTATTAGGGTGACACACATTTTTATGGACTGCTTATTTTGGACTTTGCTTAAATGTTTATTGTAAGTAAAAACCTACATTTTACTATACAGTGTATCTGTGTGCCATTTGTGTGTTATTCTTCACCACTCTCACTACATCTCCCTGTGTGCACTCATTCTCCTAATGGGGAATTACCTCAACAGGATTCATAGAGAACTATCACAATTAGATAACATACTACAAGGTCCAGAGGAGAAATTGATTAAAAAGTATATAATTATTTCTTGGGCTATAAGATGGAGGAAGAGAGGGTTAAAGAAATTATGATAGTTTGGGCGAAAAATTTTGACTACACGATAGAATTGGAGAAATGAGAAAAAATGTGGGAAAAGAATTGTAAATTGACGATGTCAGCAGCGTATAGAGAAAATTTATACAAAATGTTCTACAGATGGCACCTACCCCCTGCTAGATTAGCAAAAATGTTCCCAAACAGATCATCTGTATGTTGGAAATGCAAACAAAAGCAAACAACATATTACCATGTGTACATGCCCTGTAGCAAGAAAATACTGGATAAGGACAAAAAAATGGATAGAAGAAACATATAAACAACAAATTGCACTAATACCAGAGACTTTTCTATTAGGTATAATAGGAAAATGTGATAAGAAAACAAAATATCTAATGCTACATCTATTAACGGCAGCAAGAATAACTTACGCACAAAATCTGGAAAAAGATAGTATGCCACTAGAGGAAAATGTGATGTGGAATGCATTGTATGATTGGCTAAATAATAGATATAGAGATGAATAGAGAAGATGACAATAGGATAATAAGGCAAAGGCTATAGTGGACAAAGATAGATTAAGGAATATAGACAAATGTACAGATAGTTAAGATTTATGTAAAAGTATGTATACCGTCACGGAAGCGTTGCAATGAATGGACATGATGTATATAAGAAAAATTGTTTAATAAAAATTAATTTTTAAAAAAATCTGTTATTATTAAACTTAATTGTTGCCCATCTTAGAGTCTGAGGCAACTCTGAGCGACTTTTCTTGCCCTAATGTTCATAGCAACACTGACAATACCCATTTTTTACATGTCAAATGCTTTTGATAATTCTAACATAATGCATTGTGAAAATTGAGACATTTTCTATTGTACATTTTTTCCTCATGTTAAGGTAGCAAAAGAGAGAGGTTTGTTCCTCTTCTGTATTATCAGTGTGGCAAAATGGCAGCCACTTCCCCAAGTACACCGCACGACCCAGGGATGAATCTGAGGCCCATTGAAAATGGTGGCTGCTTCCAGGACACAGTTCAAGGATGCGTGTCCTTCCCTCCCTCTGAAACATGAGGATCAGAGATCTTCCAAAGGTAAGGAGGAGGAGGGTATGAGGCCTGGTGGGGTGGTAATCAGGCCTGAGGACTTCAGGGACCCAGCAGCAGTGGGGAAAATCCTGTGGGGATCCTGGGGAGCTGAGGAAAGGGGCAGGGATAGGAAACAGAACATAGGGTGTCTTGGAGGGTGGGGGAGCCCCAGGGATGCCTGTGGCAGGCAAGCCTAGCCCTGCTCTAGGCCTCTAAGAGTTTTCCTCAGCCCTGAAGTAGCCAGTACCCTGCTTAGCAACTCGCACATTTGATTCATGGCTGCTTCAGGATTACTTTTATGCTGGCTGGGGAATTCAGGGGCTCAAAATCTGGGCGAAATCAAGGTAGAAGGCTGAAACTCCACATGTGGGAATTTCATAATCAACATACAAAAAAGCTCCACCCAAAATTCCTTTTTGAGGAATTCTCAACTTCTGGAAAAGGAAATATCCAGAAGCTTCTGCTGATAACTAGAAACTAGTAGTTAGTCATTTTACATTTTCCTTTTCTCTCCACCTACAAGTTTAATCCTGAGAAATGTTTGAGTAAAATGAATCAGGCCAAAATACAAACAATCAATTTCTCACTTACACTTTCTTTTTTTTAAAAAAAAAATTATATATAAAAGACAGACTAGAAATAAACATTAAAATAAACAAGAAAATGGTAAGAGAATCCCTGTCTGACCTCGATGAATATAAATCACGGAACCTGACGGATTATATCCCAGAGCGGGACAAAACCAAAGGCACAAGTACAGATTAGGCAAAACCTGGCTCCAAAATAGTAACTGTGAGAGGGACTTTGGAGTCTTAGTGGACAATCACTTAAGCATGAATCAGCAGTGTGCAGCAGTAGCCAAAAAACTAATGCAATCCTTGGTTATATAAACAGAGCCATAGAATCAAAATCACGTGACATATTAGTACCACTTTATAAAGCCTTAAAGTCTTATTAAGTCTTATATTATAAAGTCTTACCAAAAGACTATACCTGGAATACTGCATCCAGTTTTCATCAACGCATTACAAAGAAGTTGAGACTCTGAGAAAAGTGCAAAAAAGAGCAACTAAGATGATTAAAAGACTGGAGACTAAAATATATGGAGAATGTTTGGCGGATTTGGGTTTTGCTAGTCTAGAGAAAACAAAAACATGATAGCAGTAATCTAGTATTTGAGAGTCTGCCACAAAGAAGAGGGGGTCCATTTATTTTCCAAAGCACCAGAGGGCAGGACAAGAAACAATGGATGGAAACTAATCTAGACTTGAACACTGGGCCCTATTTAACACAATGAAACTCAATGGAGAAAAAACCCCAAGGTTTTACACTTAAGCAAGAGAAACCAAATGTACAGGCACAAAATAGGTGGAACATGGTAGTATCTATGAGAAGGAACACTGAATCCCAGGAGACAATCATTTAAATGTGAGCTAGCAGGGTGTTGCAGTGGCCAAAAAAAGCCAATGCAATCTTAGGCTGTATTAACAAAGGGATACAGTCAAGATCAAGTGAAGTGTTAGTACCAAGTTATAATGCTTTGGTAAGGCCACACTTGGAGTTCTGCAACCAGTTTTGGTCACCAAGTATTTAAAAATGTTGAGACTCTATAAAGAGCCCACAGAAGAGCAGCAAGGATGATTAGGGGGCTGGAGGCTGAAACAAATAAAGAACAGTTGCAGGAACTGGGCATGACTCGTCTAGTGAGAAGAACAACTAGGGGGTGACATGATAGTGGTGTTCCAATAATTGAGGGGTTGCCACAAAGAAGAGGGGGTCAATTTATGCCACCAGATAAAGACTGAATGCACCAATTATCACATTAAACAAGAGGAAAACCTTCTACGCACCAATTCCACCCGCGCTTTCTACAATTTTGTAAACAACAAACTAAAAGACTCAAGGTCCATCCCACCAGTGAAAGGACCTAATGGTAAAGACTGCAACGACGACACTATTAAAGCCAACCTCTTTAACACATTCTTTGGCTCAGTATTTGTAAACAGCAATGGATCATGCCCAGTATTTCCTAGTCGAATCACAGAAAACTACAATGATCTAATACATATCGATATTACAGAAGACAATGTTGAAAAAGCACTACGCAATCTAAAACCATCTCTATCTATTGGACCGGATGGAATCTGTGCATACTTCTTTAAAAAGCTATCCACTGCCATAGCCGAACCTCTAAGCATAATCTTTGAAAAATCTTTCAGGACCAGCTCCTTGCCAAACCTATGGTCACTAGCCACGGTCATTCCTATCTTCAAAAAGGGAGACCCCAGCCTAGTTGAAAATTACAGACCAATCTCCTTATGCTGCGTCACCTGTAAAGTCATGGAATCAATTATTAACCAATCCATTATCCTCCACTTAGAGACAAACAACCTACTCTCTAATAAACAATTTGGTTTCACGAAATCTGCAACTCTTACACTGCAAAAACATATGGACTACACAACTCGATCAGGGCAAAGCAATAGACATAATTTACATAGACTTCTGCAAAGCCTTTGATTCAGTGGTACATGACAAACTACTCCTAAAACTAAAATCTTATGGTATCTCTGGACACCTTCATAAATAGATAGAAACATTCCTGTCAGACAACAAATGGTCAAAATTGGGAGCATCCTATCAATTCTGAACCTGTCAACAGTGGTGTCCCCCAAGGCAGTGTTCTAGGACCAACTCTCTTCATACTCTACATAAATTACCTCTGTGATCGTATTAAGAGCAACTGCATTCTTTTCGCTGATGATGTAAAGCTATTCAACACCACCACCAATACTGCTACCATTCAAAAAGACCTTGACTATGTATCATAATGGTCAAACAAATGGCAACTTCAAATCTCAACAAATAAATGCTCTGTCTTACATATTGGCAAAAAAAATCAGAAAATAAAATACAAGCTGAATAGTCAAGATCTTGTTGATGATCCAAACTCAGTCAAGGACCTTGGAGTACTCATCTCTAATGATCTAAGTGCTAGAGCCCACTGCAACTACATAGCCAAAAAGGCATTAAGAGTTGTTAACCTAATCTTACGTAGCTTTTTCTCTGGTAATATTACACTAATAACTACAGCATAAAAAACATTTGCTAGACCAATACTCCAATACAGCTCATCAGTCTGGAACCCACATTACGTATCTGATATTAATACAGTTGAGAAAATCCAGAAATATTTCACAAGAAGAGTTCTCCACTCCTCTACCCGTTGCAGAATACCTTATGCCACCAGACTTGAAATTCTAGACCTAGACAACCTAGAACTACACTGCCTTAGGTCTGATGTAATATAACATATAAAATTATATATTGCAATGTCCTACCTATCAATGAATACTTTAGCTTCAACCATAACAATACAAGAGCACACAATAGATACAAACTCAAGGTTAATCGCACCAAACTTGATTGCAGGAAATACGACTTCAGCAACAGTGTGGTCAATGTCTGGAATACATTGGAATACTCTGTAGTTTCTTCCCCAAACCTTAGAGTGTCTACTATTGACTTCACCCCTTTCCTAAGAGGTCTGTAGGGAGAATGCATAAGCGCACCAACGTGCCTACCCTGTCCTATTGTTTATTTTTATTTTTCTTATATGTATCCATTTCATGTATTCATAACTATGTTTATACTTATACCTGTTATCTTATAATTACTTGACTAAATAAATAAATAAATAAATAATATTTTCCAAAGCACCCAAAGGCAGGACAAATGGATGGAAACTAACGAAGGAGAGGAGCAACCTAGAACTAAGAAGAAATTTCCTGACACTCAGAACAAACCAGTGGGAACTGTTTGCCTTCAGAAGTTGTGGGTGCTCCATCACTGGAGGCTTTGAAAGAGAGACTGGACAGCCATTTCTCTGAAATGATGTTGGCTCTCCTGCTCGATCAGGGGGTTGGAATAGAAGACCTCCAGGGATCCTTCCAACTACGTTCCTCTGCAACACTCCTCTAGTGATGGAGAAACAGCCTGAACTTAAAAGAGGTTTTTTAAATCTTCTCACCAGAAGGAAAACTGCAGCCACCAATGGGCTTAAATTTGGGGAGGGAAGGAACCTGCAGCAGCAGCAGCTGACACGGATCAGCCCAGTTGCTTCTCTGCTTCCAGGCCGTGGAGAGACCCGAACAGCCCGACTTGCTCCCGGACTCTCCTCCCACCTGCTGCCCTCAACTCAACTAACAGCTGCTGCTTCGAGCCTGGGAAGAGCATGAAAGCCGCTCTGCACACCTTCTTCCTCCCATGAATCGTCCGGAAGAGGAAGTTCCTCTGCTCTTCTCTTCTCTTCCCATCCTTTCTAGTAATACAGTACTTGATGGTTTTAACTCTTTAAACTCAATCACAGAGCCCGCCTACCGTACTGTCAGCTTTGTAGGCATAGATGTTGTCCTCTTGACTTCCATTTCCGGATAGGAAACGCTTGTCCCGTTTCTACCTAAGGCGTCTGCAAGATGTTTTCACGGATTGAATGCTATCAAGATGTTTTGACTTCTAGCAATCGACCTTTGCAACTGAGCCAAGTGAAATAATGAAATGTGATGCTACTTAGCTAATGAAGATTACCTATGTGCTCAGCCCTAAAAGTTAATGTTTTTTTTTTTACAGAATTACAGAATAAGCATTCTTGGGGTGTCTCTCATTTGAGATCAAAGCCTCTCTACACCCCAATTTTTTATGACTTATTTAATGTGGCCCACAAGGATTTAGGACATGGCAACAGCACCAGAAGAGCAGCTCCAGGGGAGCCAGCTTCACTCCTGCTGGCCAGGGCTGCCTCCAAGAGCACCCATTCCTGAAGGAGGAAATTGTATAACAACTGCTAAATGTTAAATGCCATGTGTAAATTCTGTAAATTTACTTGCAGGGAAGTCTCCATTAGGTCACAGATAGAGGAAATTATACAGCAGGGCCTAGAAAATGGGGGCTAAGGGGACAATTGTCAATATATGGTAGAAGAAATATTTGGAATGAAATGGAATAGAATAGGAGGGTTGAAAGGGACCTTGGAGGTCTTCTAGTCCAACCCCTGCTTAGGCAGGAAACCCTATACCATTTCAGACAAATGGTTGTCCAATCTCTTCTTTAAAACTTTGAGGGTTGGAGCATACACAACTTCTGAAGGCAAGTTGTTCCGCTGATTATTTGTTCTGTCAGGAAATTTCTCCTTAGTTTCTCTCCTTGGTTAGTTTCTTCTCCTGCCTTCAGGTGCTTTGGAGAATAGCTTGACTCCCTCTTCTTTGTGGCAACCCCTGAGATATCAGAACACTGCTATCATGTCACCCCTGGTCCTTCTTTTCATTAAACTATGTCTTTTCATGACTTGATGACATGTCATGCCCCCATCGGAATTGGAATCTGAGGGGGAAGACGAACAGCTGACAGAGAGTGGGAGAGTGGCTCCCTTGGCTGTGGAGAAAACTGGGGAAGAGCAAAGTCAGGCTGGGCAGAGCACTCCTAAGAAAACTGATTGCATAATTCTGTAAAACCTTCATGAACTTTTAGGGCTCAGCATGTAGCAGATAATAGATAACAGATAATCAGAGATGGAGGGGACCTTGTAGGTCATCTAGTTCAACCCCCCTCCCAAGTGGGAGACCCATTTCTGACAAATGGCAGTCCAATCTCTTCTTGAAAGTCTCAAGTGATGGCGCTTCAACAACTTCGGAAGACAAAGCTTGTTAGGTATAACATTGATACCAAATATGGTTTGGGTGAATAAATATATAAAACTTAGATATCATGGTATAAGTGCTTATCACTTTAAGCACAATGCAGCAAGCAATTAGCCGATTAAGGGTGCGGTTAGAAGTTACAATATAAGGAAGCATTAGAAGCTGGAAAGCTTGCTTGCTGTCTGTCTGTGTCTGTAACTGGCTGTAACTGTGTGCTACTGTAACTGTGTGCTGCTGCGACTAACTGTGATTACTAACTGTGAGTGCCTGTGACTGAACTGTTATTGTTTGCTACTGTTTGCTGAATATCCAGCGTTTGTTTCTCTGGAGAGTGAAACCGGAGGAGGAGAAGATATCTTTATCGGCTGATAAAGATATTGCAAGGACTCTTTACTTGGACTATACTAGTGAGTCTTACTGGATGGAAATACTGTGAATGACTTAATGGACTGAATGACAATGCTTAAACTCTAACTGGATTAAAAACTATTTAAACTACAAACAGTGTTCCATTGGTTGATTGTTCTCACTGCCACAAAGTTTCTCCTTATTTCCAGGTTAAATCTCTCCTTGTTCAGTTTCCATCCATTATTCCTTGCTGCAGCCCCTCAAATATTAGAAGACTGCTAGCATGTCTCCCCTGGTCCTTCTCTTTACTAAACTAGCCATGCCCAGTTCCTGTCACCTAATCTTCGTAAGCTAAGTAGCCTCATATTTCACTATTTCACTTTGCTCAGTTGCAATGATCGGTTGCTGGAAGTCAAAAACGACTTGATAGCATTTAAACACTGAAAACATCTTGCAAACACCTTAAGTACTAGAGACTGGAGAGGCGTGTTTTTCTTTTTCTTTTTTTCTTTAAAAAATATTTTTATTAAGTTTCTTTTGTTACATCGTAAAACATGGTATCAACAACGTTCTTGGCATCTATACAGGTTCCTGGTTTAAATATCATAATATATTATATTACATTTGTCTTCTACTAAATAATAGCTTTAACTATGATTACTATTCTTATATCTTTATAAAATTGACAAAATTTTGTTTTACTTTCTTAAGGGTTGTTTCAATTAGAATTTTTGTCTCACTTCTTAGGAGAAGCGTGTTTTTCTGCCTCCTATCTGGAGATGGCGATGGCGATCAGGTAGACAACATCCGTGCCTGAAAAGTGCACAATACAAAACTTTATTATACATAATAAAAGAGTTAAAACCATCGAGTACCATATTGCTAGGAAGGATGGGAAGAGAGGAAAAGCGCAGAGGAACTTCCTCTTCCAGATGACTCATGGGAGGAAGGTGGTGTGCAGAGCGGCTTCTGTGCTCTTCCCAGGATCGAAGCAGCAGCTGGCAGGTGAGTTGGGGGCAGCAGGTGGGATTAGAGTCCGGGAGCAAGTCGGGCTGTTTGGTTCCCTCCACGGCCTGGAAGCAGAGAAGCAACTGGGGTGAAGCATGTCACATCCACAATGTCTAAAGGCAAGCTATTCTATTGGTTAATTGTCCTCACTGTTAGGAAGTTTCTCCTGAATTCCAGGTTGCTTCTCTCCTTGATTAGTTTCCATCCATTGTTTCTTGTCCTGCCCTCTGGTGCTTTGGAAAATAAATTGATCCCCTCTTCTTCCTGGCAGACTCTCAAGTACTGGAATACTGCTATCATGTCACCCCTAATTTTTCTTTTCTCTAGACTAGCCAAACCAAAATCCTTCAACCATTCTCCATATGTTTTCATCTCCAGGCTTTTAATCATCTTGCCTTCTTTGCACTTTTTCCAAAGTCTCAGCTTCTTCTTTGTAATGTGGTGATTAAAACTGGATGTAGTATTCCAGATATGGTCTTACCAAGGCTTTATAAAGTGGTACTAATACATCACGTGATTTTGATTCTATGTCTCTGTTTCTATAACCAAGGATTGTATCAGCTTTTTTGGCTGCTGCTGCACACTGCTGACTCATGTTTAAGTGATCGTCCACCAAGACTCCAAGGTCCCTCTCACAGTTACTGTTTTGGAGCCAGGTTTCGCCTAATCTGTACTTGTGCCATTAGTTTTTTTTCGGCCCAGGTGTAAAAGTTTGCTTTTTTCCACATTCTATTTCATTTTGTTGGATAGGGCCTATTTTTCAAGTCTGTGAAGATCTTTTTGGATCCTGAGCTTGTCTTCTGGGGTATTTGGCTATTCCTGCCAGTTGATGAGTTCTTCTATACCCTCATCTAAGTCATTTATGAAGATATTGAAAGTACTGGGATTAAGACAGAGCCTTGTGATATCTCATTGCTTACCTCCCTCCATGTGGATGTAGTGCCATTAAGGACTATTTGTTGAGTATATGGTTTGTGAGCCAGTTACAAATCCATCTGCTGGTAATGCGATCTATTCCATATTTTTCTTGCTTACCAAGAAGTAGCTTGTGATCTACATTGTCAAATGCGTTGCTGAAGTCTAAATCCAAAGCATTTTGCTGGTCTACTACTTTAGTCACTTTGTCAAAGAATGAAATAAGATTGGTTTGGCATGATCTGTTTTTAACAAATCTGTGCTGGCCACTAGTTATGATTTTATTTGTTTCTAGATGTTCACAGGTCTGTTTTTTTATTATTTTTTTCAGTATCTTCCAAGGTTGTTAGGTCGATGTTAGGCTGATTGGTCGTTAGTTACCTGGGTCTATTTTTCCCCCCTTTTTGAAGATGGGAACCATATCAGTTCTTTTCCAATCCTCTGGTGGTTCCCCAGTGCTCCAAGATTATTTAAACATATGATACAATGGTTATGAGATAACACCTGTCTGCTCTTTCAGAACTCTGGGATATAATCCCTCAGGTCCCAGTGATTTATATTCATCAAGGTCAGACATTACCATTTTCTTGTTTATTTTAATTTTAATTTTTAAGTCTGTCTTTTACATATAGATATGATGAATATATATAAATAATATATAAATATTTTTAAAAAAAGAAAGTGTAGGTGAGAAATCGATTGTTTGAATTTTGGCCTGATTCATTTTACTCAAACATTTCCCAGGATTAAACTTGTAGGTGGGGAGAAAAGGAAAATGTAAAATGGCTAACTACTAGTTTCTGGTTATCAGCAGAAGCTTCTGGATATTTCCTTTTCCAGAAGTTGTGGAATTCCTCAAAAAGGAATTTTGGGTGGAGCTTTTTTGTATGTTGATTATGTAATTCCCACACATGGAGTTTCAGTCTTCTATGTTGGTTTTGCCCAGATTTTGAGCCCCCAAATTCCCCAGCCAGCATAAAAGTAATCCTCAAGATACAACTATTATGGGCCTTGCAATTACGGTTGCATATTGCAAAGACTGTTAAGTGAGACGGCTTTCCTTAACTACCCGAATCTCCTGCTGTCCCTGAGGCAGCCATTAATCGAATGAGCGAGTTGCTAAGCAGAGTACTGGCTACCTCAGGACTGAGGAAAACTCTTGGAGGCCTAGAGCAGGGCCAGGCTTGCCTGCCACAGGCATCCCTTGGGCTCCCCCACCTTCCAAGACACCCTTTTCTGGGAATATCTGGACAGCTAATGTCCTGGGTTGGCATGACAACTGTCCTCATATGGACTATTCTTAATGGATTTTGCTTTGTTAGCGGTTTCTTAGTTAATATTTGATCAGGGGCTTCTCGGGTTATACAGAAGAGAAATATACAGAAGAGAAATATGTCAATACTTTTGCTTTTTTCTTTACAGGAATAATTTTCACTTCTCACAATCCGACCTTTTCTATTTTATCCTTTATTCTGTAAACCTCCATCTTAATCCTGCGACATAATTCTCACCTCTCGTTGGCTGAATCATTTTCCTTTTAGCCCTAGTGTCTTTGGCTTAGTTACTTGATAGCAGTATTACAGCTGTTACCACATAGAGGCAAACATTGCATACAAATTACATGAATACATGATATAAATCCTATAACAATAATAGCAATAATGTATAACAATAGGTCCTTTAGCCAGGCAAAATTTGGTAGCCATGAGGTCAATAGAACCCACAACCTCTTAAAGGTCGACTCATCAGTATGTGTTAAGTGTGTAGTGATGTTATGCAAAAGATAAGGTTTGACGGTGCACTCTTCAATTCAGTATATGGTAAAAGTAGCCCTTCTTCCAGGATTCTAAAATTTTTAGAGGATGGTGAATAATTTCAATAAAGTTCAGCACATTGATTATACAGAAACTCCATTCTACTTGATACATCCCTATGGTTTATACCTACATCATATGTACGATTATACCTTGGGTATTTAACCTAACGGTATCCCATCACTCAAGGTGGATCTAATACAGATTCCAGCTCCCAATGTAGCTTCAATCAGTTTCAGTGGTGTCTGTACCTGGGAATACTTACTCTCATGTCCAGTATGTAAACATAGCTGCTGCCATTTTATAGGATAATGAGGCAATGCATCAAAAGTTTCCATTCCTACCTTCACATATTGCATGGCTTCCCACAAGGCAACTACCACCACCACTGTGAGCTTCATATTTCTAGTGTACTGGGCCCACCCTACCTGGCGTAATTGTGTTTGTTTATTTTTCTTAGATTTTAAAACTTCCAGCTGGTCGTTAGGGACTTACATCCACCTTCCAAACTATCTCCCTACTCAAGATGATCAACAACACTATACAAATGTTTATTACCCCCCAGCCAAATGAGAAACCCAATCGTCCACTTTTTCCATAAACTAAGTGTATTTTTTTTTCAACGTTAAACGAAGGGGTTCGATGTGTCCCGTTTCGCTGTCCATCCAGAAGGTGAGTCCACTGGTCCCTCGACTTTAGAATAGTGTGTTCAACCTATTTGTCAGAAATTATTTGTCAGAAATGGTGTAGGGTCTCCCGCTTGTGCCTATAAAGTCCCTTCCAACTCTGATTATCTGTTATCTATAACCTTTCTCTCTGGACTTCACGGCCAACTCAGTGGTCACCAGCACCTGGTATGGCCCTTTCCAGACAGGTTGTAATTTCTCCTTTTTCTCCTCTTTAAGTTCATTAACTGGTCCTTTTACACATGTGTAGTGGGTCCACCATTTGTTGTTTGTCCAGACTGCTGTTTCAGTGGTCAGCAGGACGTGGCAAAGTTTTTCTTCATATCAGCCTTTTATTAGGACCCAATCACCAGGCTGGAACTATGGACAGCAAATTTGAAAAGTAGGGTTTAAGCTAGTAGTCCTTTAGACCTTAAAAGAGAAAAACACTGGGACAGTCCTTGTATATATTTTCTAAGGAAGACATCTTTAAACTCCATCCCAGGCATTCCCATAATCCCAGGATAAGGTAAGACAAACATCATTTCATATGGTGAAATACCTTCCTTTCTAGGGCTCGTTCTAATCTGCAAAAGAGCTAAAGGCAAACATTTTATCCAGGGTACCTGGAGTTCCAGTATTAATTTTTTACTGAATTTTTTAGGGTTACAATTTTCACTTCTCACAATTTCATCAATTAAAGCCCCCACATCTCTAAATTTAGCTCAGAAGGTTTGACTATAACCATTTTGGCATATATTATCAGCTTTGAAAGACATAGATTTTCTCCATGAATACAGGTGTAGGTAGGGAATATCTGTATTTCTCTCTGTAGGGATATGTCTGCAATTAAATAATCTATCCCCAGCATTTCAAGTTATAATTGATGATAGTCCTTTGTGTTGCTAAGAATTTGTGATTGACCCAATTAAACAACTGAATTTGATTGAATGCATATTTGAACATCAATACTACCTCAGTAGTCTTCCATGTGTCAAATGAATTATAAACAAGGTAAGTAAGAGTTTATTCTAGTATTGGGGCATGTTTGCTTTTTCATTGTAATTTTTTCTTTTTTCACATCATCTCTAAACATTTTATAAACAATTAATGTTACACTTTTCTTTGAATCTTACAGACAAAGAAGATGGCAAGAAGAGCACTCGGGACAACTGCAAATAACAAGCAATGTTGAAAAGGGAATTAAATCAAGCCAGAAATCAAAATAGTTTCCATTTCATTCAGAAAACCATACAATTCTCCTCCTCCTCCAGAAGTTGTTAGACAAAATTAAAAAAGATTTCAAGCCAGAATAAGCAGATTATGTACAACTCAAGGATATATTACATGAAATGTCAAAGGGGATTATTTTAATTCAGCATTTCTGGAAGTCAGTTGGAGGAAAAGTTGAATCGTAAAGCTATGTGGAGCAGACAGTAATATAGGCCTCTCCCTGTGAGGAAGAAAATGGCTTGAATGAAAGCACCGCTAAACAAGGCATTGTCAAAATTCCAGTCTGGTGATACATCAGTGGATTGACTCCAAGGAGATACTGTATGAGTGTCTAGATATTGGGAAAAACTTCATTAGAAATTTTCATCTCATGAGACACCAAAGAATTCACACAGGAGAGAAACCCTTTGAATGTCCTATCTATGTGGAAAGTTTCAATCAGAATTCCAACATGATGATACACCAGAGGACTCACACAGGAGAGAAACCATTTGAATGTCCTATCTGTGAGAAAAGTTTTAGTGACAATTCCAACCTGGTGAAACACCAGAGGACTCACACAGGAGAGAAACCCTTTGAATGTCCTGATTGTGGGAAATATTTCAGACAAAATTCCCATCTGGTAATACACCAGAGGACTCATACAGGAGAGAAACCCTTTGAATGTCCTGACTGTGGAAAAAGTTTCAGTCAAAATTCCCATCTGATGATACACCAGAGGACTCACACAAGAGAGAAACCCTTTGAATGTCGTATCTGTGGGAAAACTTTTGGTTATAATTCTAGCCTGGTTCGACACGAGAGTATTCACACAGGAGAGAAACCCTTTGAATGTCCTATCTATGTGGAAAGTTTCAATCAGAATTCCAACATGGTGATATGCCAGAGGACTCATACAGGAGAGAAACTCTTTGAATGTCCTATTTGTGGGAAAAGTTTTAGAGATAATTACAACCTTTTGAAACACCAGAGGACTCACACAGGAGAAAAACCCTTTGAATGTCCTGATTGTGGGAAATGTTTCGGACAAAATTCCTATCTGGTAATACACCAGAGGACTCATACAGGAGAGAAACGCTTTGAATGTCTTATCTGTGAAAAAAGTTTTAGTGACAATTCCAACCTGGTGAAACACCAGAGGACTCACACAGGAGAAAGACCCTTTGAATGTCCTGATTGTGGGAAATATTTCAGACAAAATTTCCATCTGGTAATACACCAGAGGACTCATACAGGAGAGAAACCTTGTGAATGTCCTGATTGTGGGAAATGTTTCATTACAAATTCCAGCCTCAAGAGACACCAGAGGACTCACACAGGAGAGAAACCCTTTGAATGTCCTGACTGTGGGAAAAGTTTCAGTGAGAATTCCAGCCTGGTGATACACCAGAGGACTCACACAGGAGAGAAACCCTTTGAATGTCCTATCTGTGGGAAAAGTTTTAGTGGTAATTCCAACCTGGTGAAACACCAGAGGACTCACACAGGAGAGAAACCCTTTGAATGTCCTGACTGTGGAAAAGGTTTCAGTCAAAATTACCATCTTATGAGACACCAGAGTGTTCACACCATGGAGAAATATTTGAAATGTCCAGACTGTTGACGTTATTTTAAGCATAAATCATCCCTTATTGCACACAAGGTAATCCATATGCGGAAAAATAGATGAGTTTAGAGAACACTTGAATTTCATTTGTTATCTCCCATTGAAAGTGTAGGTGAGAAATTGATTGTTTGAATTGTGTTTGAAAATGGAAGCATTTGTTCACCCAAATCTAGTAAATCTTGAAAAAGATTAACATATAAAGATACTTTGAATGTGGAAGGGGAACTAGAAACTAAACAAGAACTACAGAAACAGGGTGTTTATCGTGGTGGCCACATATACAAATGCAATCAAAATATGAGAAAGATGTTAAGATATATGACTTTTAAAAGAACAATTGGCAAAAACTCTGGGAAAGAAACTATAAATTGACGATGGCAACTACGTATGAGGAAAATCTGTATAAAAAGTTCTATAGGTGGCACTTACCACAAGCCAGGCTAGCAAAAATGTTTAAAAATATGCCCACCAAATGTTGGAATTTAATCAAATATTGGGCACATATCATCACATATGGTGGATGTGTTCAAAGGCAAAAGTTTTTTGGATGAAAGTGCATACATGGTTAGAAAAAATGTTAAGGCAGCATATAAATTATAAGCCAGAACTATTTTTGTTAGGCATAATACCAGAAAAATATGAGAGAGGGAATGTATATTTAATATTACATGTCTTGACAGCAGCAAAAATTGTATTTGCACAAAACTGGAAAAATGAGAAACAGCTATAGAAAAAGATATAATTAAAATATTAGATCGTGCAGAAATTGGTAGACTAACACTGAAGATAAAAGAAAAAGAAGAAACATAATATTTTTGAATTTGGGACTTGCTTTATCAATGGTTGGATAATAGAGGTAGAAATTAGGAACTTAAAAATATTACTATATGTAAGCAAACCGAGACAGTATGCTGTTCATTAAGCATTTACTGTATGTAAAGAGAAAATATATAAGTAAATTTAAAAAAAACTGTAGGTGATAAATCAATTGTTTGAATTTTGGTCTGATTCATTTTACTCAAACATTTCTTAGGAGTAAACTAGTTGGAGAGAAAAGGGAAATGGAAAATGGGTAACTACTAGCTTCAGGTTATCAGCAGAAGCTTTTGGATATTTCTTAAACTTGTAGGTGGGGAGAAAAGGAAAATGTAAAATGGCTAACTACTAGTTTCTGGTTATCAGCTTCTGGATATTTCCTTTTCCAGAAGTAGTGGAATTCCTCAAAAAGGAATTTTGGGTGGAGCTTCTTTGTATGTTGATTATGTAATTCCCACATGTGGAGTTTCAGTCTTCTATCTTGGTTTCGCCCAGATTTTGAGCCCCCAAATTCCCCAGCCAACATAAAAGTAATCCTCAAGATACAACAATTATGGGTCTTGCAATTACGGTTGCATATTGCAAAGACTGTTAAGTGAGACGGCTTTCCTTAACTACCCGAATCCCTTGCTGTCCCCGAGGCAGCCTTTAATTGAATGTGTGAGTTGCTTAGCAGAGTACTGGTTACCACAGGAGTGGGGAAAACTCTTAGAGGCCTAGAGCAGGGTCAGGCTTGCCTGCCACAGGCATTCCTGGGGCTCCCCCACCCTCGAAGACACCCTATGTTCTGTTTCCCACCCCTGCCCCTTCCCTCAGCTCCCCAGAGGCCCCCCCCCCAGGATTTTCCCCATTCCTGCTGGGTCTCTGCTGTCCTCAGGCCTGACTGCCACCCCACCAGGCCTCATACCCTCCTCCTCCTCCTCCTCCTCCTCTTCACCTTTGGAAGATCTCTGATCCTCATGTTGGGGAGGGAGGGAAGGACATGCATCCTTGGGCCTCATGACTGTGTCCTGGAAGCAGCCACCATTTTTAGTGGGCCCTGGATTCGTCCCTGGGTCATGCAGTGGACTTGGGGAAATGGCTGCCATTTTGTCACACTGTCCACATTGATAATGCAGAAGAGGGACGAACCTCTCTGTTTTGCTATCTTAAGATGAGGAAAAATATACAATAGAAAATGTATCATTTTTCAAAATGCATTATGTTAGAATTTTCAGAAGCATTTGGCATGTAAAAAATGGGTATTGTGAAGTGTTGCTATGAACATTAGGGCAAGGCAAGAGTTGCAAGACGCTCAGAGTTGCCTCAAACTGAGATGGGAACCAATTAAGTTTAATAATAAATGAATTTAATAATAATGTTATGTAAAGTTCATTTCCCAACTCTATCAGTGATGAGGACTTCACACATACAATGGGTTTCTAATGCACTACAATTGTTAACTTGTAATCCCTCTTTTGTGCATTCTGTGTCTCTATGACCAATCTGTCTTCCTCACCTTCCCTTCCCTTATTATAAATTTAGAATTTCAGTTTCAGTCATACATCAGTCCATGCACACTGTGACTCTGATGATGTGAGCTGCAATTAGTTTTCTGCCTCTTAATGTATTTGTTGCATTGCTATCTGCTCCAATCCTATATTCTATGAAAGAATGATATTTCATTAAAAAATTAGAATGGCTAAACTGGATCTGTTTTTATTGGCATTCTTTTCAGATTCAGATATGTTTTTCTCCATCGCTGCCAGTCTGAGAGAAGGAAGTTAGGATGTTTCAAACTGGACACCTAAGCTACAGTTTCCCTTTTAATGTTACAACCTCTAAAGCAGCCATTGGGTGTACCATCACAGAGGATCTATCTGACTTGAAGAGCTGAAGACAGATTAACAGAGTTGGAAGGGACCTTGTAGCGGTGCTGGGATGCAAATACTGTTGCCACTGGTTCGGTGGGCATGGCTTGTTGGGCGCATTTTGCACGCGTGCACACACTTTATGTGCATGCGCACGCCAAACACTCACTTTGCGCAGGCGCAGAAGCGTTTGTGCAGGCACAGAGACGTTCTAACTCACCTCCTGCAAGCCTGCACGGTCCTGGTCGCTTCCGCAGCTGCCGCACGGCACTCTTCTGTGCCGCGCAAAGCAGCTGTGCTTCAAATTCAGCTGATAAAAGTGAGTATGTGAGCCCGGGCGGGCAGGTGGGCCCAACAGCAGAGTGGCGGAGAGATCTGGTTCGGACTTAGCTGTTCATCGCTTCTACCAGCTCTCCAGAACCAGGTCGAACTGGCCAAATACCACCACTGCCTTGTAGGTCATCTAGTCCAACCCCACCACTCAAGCAAGAGACCCTACATCATTTCTGACAAATGACAGTCCTATCTCTTCTTGAAATCCTTCAGTGATGAAACTCCCACAACTTCCAAAGGCAAGCTGTTCCATTGGCCAATCGTTCCCACTGTCAGAAAATTTCTCCTTATTTCCAGGTTGAATCTCCTTGTCCAGTTTTCATCCATTATTCCTTGTCTGGCCTACAAGCGCTTTGGAAAATAGCTGGACCGCTTCCTCTTTGTGGCAGCCCCTCAAATATTTGAAGACTGCTTTCATGTCTTCGCTGGTCTATTATATTCAGTCCTTGGACCAGGCAGGGAACTTTAAAACACAACATGGTCCTTCTCTTCACTAGACTAGCCATGCCCAGTTCCTGTAACCGGTCTGCATATGTTATAATCTCCAGTCCCCTAATCATCCTGGTTGCTCTTCTCTGCACTTTTTCTAGAGTCTCTGGTTGTCCACTAAGACTACAAGATCTCTTTCACAATAACTGCTATTGAGCCTGGTTTCATCCAGTCTATATGTGTAGTTTTTCTTGCCTAAGAATTTATTTTTCTCCACACTGAATTTCATTTTGTTAGATAGGACCCAGTGTTCAAGTCTGTCAAGATTCATCTGGATCTTGAGCCTATCTTTTAGGGTGTTTAGCTATTCCTGCCAGCTTAGTATATCTGCAAATTTGGTAAGTTCCCCTTCTATTCCCTCATCTTCGGTACATAGTTTATGAAAATATTGAAGAGTACTGTGACCCTGTTGCTTACTTCCCTCCATGTAGACGTAGACCCATTAAGGATTATTTGTTGGGTACAATTTGTTAGCCAGTTACGAATCCACCTGGTGGTGATGCGATCTATCCCACTTTTTTCTAGTTACCAAGAAGTAGGTTGTGGTCTACTTTGTCGAGTGCCTTGCTGAACTCTATTATGTCCCCAGTATTTCGCTGCTCTACTAATTCAGTCACTATGCTGAAGAATGAAATGAGATTGATTTGGCATTATCTGTTTTTAACAAACACATGCTGACTTCTACTTTACTTGTTTTTAGATATTGGCAGACCTGTTTTGTTTTTTTTAATCTTTTCCAGTATTTTCCAGAGTATTGATGTTAGGCTGATTGGTCTGTAGTTTTCTGGGTCTGTTTTTTCCCCTTTTTGAAGATGGGAACCACATGAGCTCTTTTCCAGGCCTCTGACAGTTCCTCGGTGTTCCAGGATTTTTGAAAGATGTGGTACAGTGATTCTGCCAGCTCCTTTAGAACTCTGGGATGTAA